GTCTTGCTCTATAACAATCATCTTCATGAAACTAATACTTACTTGTTCTAAATTACTTTTTCAATGTCTTAACTGTGCTGCAGTATTTACCACATTGACCTAACCTCCTTTTGCTTTGCGTACAGCAGTAGCCTTCTTTAACATTTATCCATTCTCATGTGTTAGGATAAAGATGTACAGAACCAAAGAAGTAATATCCAGATGAAAAAAAAGTATTAAGGAGTCATAAATATGTAGGACAACAATAGAAAATAAATAACTCCTTTTTAAACGTTCAATCTTTTCAAGGAAGCTGGCTTGCAAAAACTTTTGAAAAATCACCGTCGAAAACTTGGGTCCTTTGGATGTGTTCAGCTTCAATATCCCAAAATGGAAATGCTTGGGGAAATTGAACAGTGCCAGGGGACATTCTTGGGCATGGGGACTCCACCATTATTGTTGCTGTTAAATTGCTGGAGCTGTCTCTGTCCCACAGTGATTAGCACTCCCCAAGCAATCCTCGTGCGTGCTTCAGAGGGTACTGGGGGACGGGGATTATTCCCAGTAGGCAGCTTGCGTACAGCCACTCTGATTTAGCAGGACAGTGAGTTTAGCACTGTGGATGCAGGCCAGCTGGCCTCCGAGCTTAGCTTGTGTCTTAGACTGCTCTCTGGCACTGACACCACTGGTATGAAGTTGTCTGCTGCTTCTGTATGACTGAATACCCTGAGCTTAGAGTGGCTGTGTCCACATTGCTTATTAGGATGGGTCCCTGTCTCATGCTACTTCCCATGTCATGCCTGAGGATTGTTTATGAAAAAAAATGTTAATTGTCCTAGGCCAAACAATACCCGGAACTGTTCTAATGATTTAACAGCCTAGAAGAGTCAGTTCCAATGCCCAGGAAAACTCCCTGGCACTGCTTTGGTTATATGGAGGCAATGTTGCATTCGTTAGATATAAGCTGAGAGGGTACAAACAAACTCTCAAACAGAGACCCTGGGTGGGTGGGCAAAGTGAAAGCAGCGTGACCCTCATCAAAGCCAAAGTAGGGGTTCAGTCCTGGGCATAATTTGCTTTGAGAACAGAGTAGGAGGAAATTGGAGGGATCGGAGAACGTAATCTAACAGAATTTTCAGCTTTAAAGGAAATTCAGATGTTCAATGTGAAATATTCTTTTAAGCTTTGTTTTATGTATCTCTCAGTAATTGGATCCCAGCTGGATTCTTCCAAGTAGAACTGAAATTTCCTTGCATTGTTAATTTGCAAAAGTGGCATCATTGTAACTGTCATTTACAGACAAACTGGATATTGAGTGTAGGAGGAGAACATACTCACTATTGACTTGGACTTTCCTTCCCTTGCTTTGTCTGTCCTTATCTTGCCTCTCCTGGCCTTACCTTTGGATAATACAACTCACACAGAGGTTTTTTGTGTTTTTTTTTTACTTTTGTGTTGGCAATACAAAACCTCTGCTGACTTAGAAGCAGGTTTATGCATGAGTAGCTCTTTTCAGTGAGTACGTCACTTTTCATAAGAAGAGTGGAAGGGAATTATTTTTGGGTATGAGGATGTTTGCCGAAGTTTAGAGAAAGTTCTCTGTTTAAAATGCGACCTGTTAAGAGGAAGGGGTTATAGTTTACAGAGCAAGTGCAAAAGCGTGCAACTGCTAAAAAGGTATCACTGAGAGTTTATCTGAGCGGATGAGTGTTCAGATCTGCTAGTCATTACTGATTGCCGCTCCTCAAAATACCACCTAGCTGGGGTTTGGCTTAGTAAAAGAGTTACATTTTATTTTTCATGGAGCCTGTCTCAGCTAAAATCAGCTTTAATTAAAAAAAAAAAAAAACAAACTAAAATCAGTTATTAAAAATTCACACCAAGTCAGAAGACAAAGATTTTAAATACATTTTAATGTTTGGTATTTTATAGATAGAATTTTGCTAGTGAAAGTAGTTTTGAAATATACTGTATTACATTCAGACTGATAGATTTTGCTTAGGTAATTTGGCACAATGGGATGTGTTTCTGGTAGTACTATCCACTAATACCGTCCAGGTTTTTTCCCACCAAGATTCACGTTTGACTTCAAACTACATAACTGAGTTCTTCAGACTGGATCCAGGTCTTTATATTCAGATTAAAGTATTCAACACCATGGCTCTAGTTTTGACTTGTTTTAAGGGAACTAAAATAGCAGTTATTTTACCTCTCTCTGTCCTTCCCCTGATGTACACATGTATATTCTTAGCCTTTTTTCTGTAATTATCTCTCTTTCCTCTTGCTCTGCTCCCACAAATCATATCTTAGTGTTATCTCTGTGTGACAAATGTGCTGGAATATTTCATGTTATAGTAGTGAAAATAATTAGTAATTAGATATGCCACTAAGATAATAAGATGGAAAATAGTTAATATGTCAGGATATCTGTATCCCATTAGAACTGGAATTTTGTTTCTGCTCAATTTGGCTTGCATTTAACATGCTCTGATTTTGAAAGAATGAGCAACCCGAACATATTCCTACGCTTATGAATAAGGCCATACTGTAGACTGCACATGAATAAATCCAGACAGTCATTTTTATTGTCATCAAAGAGCATTTTTATTCTATGCCCACAAATGTTCTTGGTAAGCTATGAAAGAGGCCTCTGAGTTAACAAGTGAAAACAGGCATCTTTCTCACCCCCTGCCTTGGCAGAATTACTTGATTAGCCTTCATCAGCAGTCGCAAGTGAACTCATGTAAAGGCTTGTCTGCAGACAGATGTTTTTCTGACTGAGTCTTTGATTGGCCCACTTGTACTTGTGCAGTATGACATGACCTTTAATTATACAGTCAAATACTACTTTTCCACTGAGCTTTTGCCTCATTCAGTGCACAAGATGGATGAGAGTGCACTGGGAATTGAATTGGGTTGGGCAGTAAAGGAGATTACTGATTAGGGATATCTCAACTTAGTAAGATGAGGATGCCACTGCAGTTTGATGAGCATTCTTACCACCTTTAATCTTTCAAGCCAGGCAGACAGAGGGGCAACTATAAACCTCACAGGTTTATTCATAACCACAGAAATTTAAGAACATGAGCAGTCACACTGATTGAAGCCATAGGTCTATTTAACCCAGTGTCCTGTCTCTGACAGTGGTCAAAAGTGGGTGCATATGAAAAAATGTAAGGATAAGACAATACTACCTGCAGGTATTCCCCCAACTGCCATGCCTTTGTGGCTCAGGGATTTCCTAATCTGGAAGGATTGTTAATGTAAATATTAAACATCAGTTGATTTTTTTCATCAGCATCCCATTAAGCACTTTAAAGTCCTTTTAATCTTTTGCCATATGCTGCCTTCTGTGGCAAGGCTTGTGGCTCACCTCCCCCAGCTTGCCTTAAGCCTGCTGCATGCTGGCTTTCTGTGAGTGGTCAGTCCCTATCCATTCTCATCATGCAGCTCATGCATAAGTCTCATATTCTTTCAAAAAAGGATGCTGAGCAGAAGCCAGAGAATGTACCCGGGGTCCCAGAAAGCTTGTAGCATGCACAGAAGGCAGACAGCCTTCACTTCTGCTGTTATATGTGACAGCTTGTCCTGCCTGCCTGTGCGGTTGTCCGATATAGACATATCCTGTGGTATTTCTGCTTCTCTTGGAAAAAAAGACTGCTGATGGCTGAAACAGAAGATTTCAGGAAGTGTATGAGTGGTCTTTTGGCCAAGTTGAGTGCCACTGTAGACAACAGGATTTTCTCTCTGATGCAGCCACAGAATTTCTGTGCGATGCTGAGCTAGTACAATAGCTGAGACTTTTCCCAGATGGCCATTAATTATGTGTTTGAAATCATGGAGTTTGATTTGCAGAAGTGCTGAGTACTCACAGCTGCAGTTGATGTCATTGCGAGCTGTACTTTGTACATGCAAAGTGCTGCTCAATGCCAAGTTCCCTGAAAAATCAGTCCCTTCATGTCTTGTATTGGTCACTGCAATTAACAGATGCTTTTGACCTGAATTTCTTTCTGTTCTGTTTTCCCTGTTTGTAATGGAGGACTGATACCACCCTGCCTCATCTCAACAACCATGACAAAACAGGGTATGGCACAAGTACCTACCCATTCCATTGTGTCCTGGTTTTTCGCTGGGACAGAGCTAGATTTCTTTTTAGTAGCTAGAATTGTGCTGTGTTTTGCTTTCAGCCTGGGATTTGTTATGAGAGAGACACTGATAACATACCAGTGTTTGCATTTTTGTCACTGGAAGTGAAGGACTTTGTGTTCTGTTAGTCCACAAGCACAAAATTTAAGAGGGTGAGGAGTATTTAAATTAATAAGCTAAATTGGAGTTTGGATATGCCAGTGGGATATTCCATATCATATCATGTCATGTCCAGTATATTAGTGAGGGGCTCTTCCTTTTTTTGTTCTCTTTGACTTTCACTCGGGCTCTCGCTCTTCTGGGATTGCGGTTTTGGTTCAGGATTGTTGCTCCTCTGGGATCGTTATCTGGGACCAGGCCGGGCTTGGTTGGCGGGTGGTGAGCAGTTGCACTGTGCATCACTTATTTGCATATTTTGTTACTGTTATTATCATTAATATTTAATATTAGTATTATTTTAAGTTTTCTTTTATTTCTATTATTAAATTGTTCTTATCTCAACCTACGAGTCTCCTTACCCTTGCCCCCAGTCCTCTCCCCTATCCCCTGGGGGTGGGGGGGAAGTGGGTGAATGGCTATGTTGGCTGCTAGCCAGGGGCTAGCCCAGTGAAACTACCACAGATTGCCATTAGCCATTCTGGCCATTGATCTCACCAAAAAAAACCCAGATATATATACTGATCATGTAACAGAAAGCTTTTATTTACTGCAGGCTAAATTTATATTGCCCAAGTAACTTTAGTTCTAGCATCTCCTGTTTTTCTTGCATTTTCCCAGCACTTGTCAGGGTGTTTGTTTAGACAGCATGTTTGAGATGTCAACCTGAATGGTTTGCGTTTTGATTCTTGTATTTTGGTTTGCATTTTGTCTTCCAGAAAATACTTGCAACAACAAACGTTTGGACCTTGTCTTCATCATTGACAGCTCTCGCAGCGTACGTCCTTACGACTTTGAAAAAGTGAAGGAGTTCATTTTAACCATCTTGCAGTTTCTGGACATCAGTCCTGATGCCACCCGCGTAGGTCTGATTCAGTACGGCAGCACAGTCAAGCACGAGTTTTCACTGAAGACATTCAGGAGGAAGCAGGATATTGAAAGAGCAGTAAAGAGGATGATGCACCTGGCAACTGGCACCATGACTGGGCTGGCTATTCAGTATGCAGTGAACATTGCATTTTCAGAGTCAGAAGGAGCTCGGCCTCTGAAGCAGAATGTGCCCCGAATTATCATGATAGTGACAGATGGGAGACCTCAGGATCCAGTGGCAGAGATTGCCGCTAAAGCGCGTAACTCGGGGATCCTGATTTTCGCCATTGGAGTTGGCAGAGTAGATATGAACACGTTGAAGTCCATTGGGAGTGAACCGCATGAAGAGCATGTGTTTCTGGTTGCTAATTTCAGTCAGATTGAGACACTGACCTCTGCCTTCCAGACTAAACTTTGTGGTAAGGTTTTTATCTACAGATTAGAATGCATGGGTCAAAGTAAAACACAGAAAAAAAAAGCGTTATAATTTTATTTTATTTTTTTACATGGAACCTTATCTGTTCCCATTCATTGCATAATAGCAATAAATTTACAACCTTCTGCTATTTTAATATTAGATAAATTGTTTCATCTATTAATTTTAAGTGTGATCTCCCTTAGTACTGAAGCTTCAAACTGATAAACAGTCTTTTGGTTATTTAAAAAATTCTATGAAGCTCATGGATTCCTCTTCCAAAGCTTAGATATTAATTCTATGCAAACAATTATATCTGCGCATGCCTTGTGGCTGGAATTAAGACACAGAGACATGGTAGTGTTTTTATTCCCTCCATTTTAAATACAGAAAGTTAGGAAAAGCCATTACAGTGATATTCATTCATACAATAAAGTAAATAATATTTTAATAAGTACAAATTTGCAACAGAGAAATCACTTCCATCTGTAATTCCCCGATAAGAATTTATCTTTTACAAATACCATGGCATACATAATTCATTTTATTACCATCTGTGTACTTAATATAATTTATTTTTTTAGTCTTTCCTGAGATAAATATAATCTGATCTTCATACAGATTTGGCGTTAAGCTGAGGCGTTTTCAGCAGAGTCCAGAAAAAGAGCACGTGGTGAAATTGAATGCTCACTCATCTCTAGGGATGCTTTTGCCAGAAAAGAACTGAGGCTTATTGTCAGGATAGTCTGGAGAATTTTCCTTACTCGGTATTTTCCAAAATTGCTTCAAAGAGCAACAGGGCTCCAGCTGAACTGCATCAGCACAAAGCACCATCACAGACATTCATCACATAGTAGATTTTTTCCTGTTTCTTCCATGCTGTGTTATCAGCTGGTGTAGTAAGATACATTCAAAAACCAAGAAAGAGTAAACTAAACATGGATTAAGAGTTTAAATGGAATAAAAAGCAAATGCTTCAAAACTTTGTCTTACTGGATTTTTTAAATTGCATTTTAGAAACAAATGCAGTACAAATACTAATTACTCTTTTTTTTTCTGACTAGGCAGTGTCCAGTAAATGTATTAGAGTTTTCTAGCTCCCTTTTAATCCAAACACATGTGATCCTCAATTAAAACCACCCCCCCACACCACAGATGGAGCAGTACAGAGGTGACAAGGATTGCTGCTGCCTCCTTTTTTCAGGGAATGCTTCCATAACATTTGCTGTGTCAGGAATTTAAGGTGAGATCCAAAAACACACTTAGAACCGCGTGCCCAGATGCAACAGAGAATTTAAGCTGTTAGATTTTTATGAATTTCAATTTAAGGGACTAAAATGCAGATAGAATCCTCAATATTTTATTGAGTCTAGGCTGTGAAGCAGAGTTCAACTTGCTGAATTTCAAGAGAGCAGTCTAAGCATCCATAGCCTCTGCTTCCTAGAACACCTGCATTCCCCCTGGGAAATGTTATTTTTTTAAGTCCACCCCAGTGTGGACCCAGATTTGAGTTGAGTAGCTGAGTTGTAGCTGAGTTGAACATCTGGACACTTTGTTCCTTTGATACAGCAATTGAAGGCACCCCTCTGGTCAAGTCTCCTCATGTGCAGTCTGCTGGGCTTCATGCTGTGGGAAAAGACCTCGGCACCTGAGCTGTCCTTGTGTCTGGATTGCCCTTATGTCTGTGGAAGTGTGTCTTCATGATTCCTGTGAAGACAAGAGAAAAACCTGGCTGAGTGATGAGGCTCTGTGGGGAAAATAAAAAGTAAACCAAATAAACCACTGTTTACCCATGGGTGGCAGAGCTTACCCAGTGCCTAACAGCTGTCTTCTCAGAAAAATCCAAATAAACGATCTGTGCTCTGCTCCATCCTCTGTGAAGTCGGACTTTCGTTGCTGCCTCCGGCTGCTAAAGATTTGAAGGTGTCAGAAACAGCAGTTGATGCCAGGGGATCCCAGAGGCCTGTTTTTATTGCCAATCAGAAGGTAAAAGAGAAGGAAACAGTATCCTGGGAAATCAGAGGCATGAGGAATGAGACAAGAGTTGAAAACAGAAGAGAAACAGAAATGGGGACAGAATACAGGAAAGGAGGTGACGATTGAATAGAAGAAGACTGAGAAAGACAAAAGTTGGGATGGAGCAGTCAGGAGCAGATAAAGTCTTCGTTATTCTCTTGTGAATTAGATAGTGGTGTCATTCCCATTTTACACTGGAGGAAACAGGGTTAAGGCTGTCAGGATTGCCCACTAATTTAAAATATTTGACTCAGTGCAATTCCTGGTCTGATTTTCTGGGGTATTTAGCATTTTTAGACTAATATACTGTACCAGTCACAGCTCTACAGCCTTCACTTGCAGCTGAGAGAGCCCTGCATTCTTGCAAATCCAGATTCAGGTGTCTGTCTGAACACTTGCAGTCTGATGGTTGATGCTTACTTGAAGATACTAATATTATTGGCTTGCTCCAAATCAAAAAGGACTCTGTATCATAGACAGAGATAAAATCTAATTCACAAAGCTCACATTCATATTCCTTAACTGTGAGATCAGCCTTTCTATTACTGCAGCCTCTGGCTGTGTCCTCCAAACACTTCCTGCAACAAATGTGGTTGCAGAAATCATACAGACAACAACCTCCATCACCACATAAATCTGACTGGTGACCAAAGTACCACTGATTCTTTGCAATGGGTGCAACTTTGGAAAAAAATTTATGTGATTGTATATCAGAAGATTGGTAACAGATGGTAACAATATATTCTCAGAAGAGACCAAGTCACTGGGACACCTATCATGGAATGCTTCTTTTTTCTTTTTCTTTTTTGCAATCTTATGTTCTTTTGATATAGGAGGACTGTTTTTGTAGCAATGTTCTCTTGAGATTCACAATCTATAGCATTAGTATATGGTAAGATTTTCTGATGCTTAAACTACTAAGTATATTTTAATTTGTCATATTTAAAAGTGCTTCTTTGGTCATAACAAGATATACCTGATGTTGAAAGCTAGTGAAATATAACCAGGAGGAAACTTCTGTTTAGAACGTATCAGAGGTCATAAACTCCATTTTCAGAATGACAGAGAGATGAAAAGACAGAAAGTCCAAGCAGGTCTGTATTCACATAAATAAAAGTACTTGAGAAGTTTTATTACAACAGAAAATGATGAGATCCAAAAAGCGGATTAAGAGATTAGGGAGTTGTGGTGGTTTATTAGTAATGAAAGCATAACTCTGGTAACCATTCCAAAGACCAGATACATAGTATGTATCTCTAAACCACATTTTCTTTTCCGTAAGTACCACACATACCACATGTTGAAGTTATTTATCAGGCTTCTGTTATGGCTACTAGAAGATTACTGTTAATATCTATTCCATAAATTTTTAGCTTTCTTGACCTAGCACAATAAGGACCACATCAATCCCTAACTGTTGTTGAGCAAAATAGATTATTTTCCACACAATGTTCTCTGAGAAGTAATTCACCTGTATTGCAGAAATTACATACAAGCAATGCTCCAGTGGAAAGAAAACATCAAGGAGATTTCCTAATTCCCGAGTATGGATCTGGAGAAAAATCGTTCAGCAACGAATTTGGCAGAATAGGACCACTATTCTTTTTCTTTCTTACTGTCTCAGTCTGTTGCATTTTATTACTTGCTATTAGAGACACAAAATACAAACAGATTAAAGATACACTCAGAAAGATTTAGAGTGGAGTGGAGCTCAGCTCAGCTTCCACTTACTGAATCACAGAGATGCATGACCTCGTTGTCATCATGTATTGCTTGTATGTTCCTCAGCATTAATAACTAAGCAAGCAAGATTCTTCTCCAAGTCGTTTTCTAGTCCTCTAGTATTGTGCTGTCTGGTGATTTTCTTCATTCATGTCCTCTTGAACAGTTTGTACTTAAATTCTACTTATTTTCTAAGTTTCAATGTGGTAGGTTTGTTTCATTGTTTTCTTGGGACCACCAAGTGATTAGTGTTTCCAGATACTCTATTATATATTTTTATTTTGTTTATATCTCTATTCCACATGTAATTTCATGTCCAAAAATGTGCCACCAATGTCAACCAGACAGAAAATATGTAAATTCTTGCTTTTTTTAGGAATAAATACATAGTACTGTTTGTTAATTATTTTTTTACAGTCTTACAGGCCTAAACTTCCATATTTTTCTTTACTCTCAGCACTTAATTTGAAATTTCTAAATTACTTCAGTAAAATTTTTTATGCTATTATTTTTTTAGTTCTGACCACAAGTAAGACCAGCAGTTAATAATGTTTTACTTTTTTTCTTTCAGTGACCCATATGTGCAGTACAGTTGAGCATCACTGTGATCACTTCTGCATAAACACCCCTGGCTCCTACGTATGCAAATGTAAACAAGGATACATTCTGAATGCTGACCAGAAGACTTGCAGCAGTATGTTATCTTTCTTAACTTTTCTCTTTCACGCTCCCAAAAAGTGCTTAACATCCCATACCCTTTTTGTTGGGCTCATAAAGAAGGACTGAGCTCAGTATATAATTAATGGTAGTCATAAAAACGAGTCTGAAAACATGAAGTTGTAGTTATTTTTCTTGTTTTGTGTAAATCAAGTTCTTATAAACCTTTCTGAAATATATCAAGCTAATTTTTATACACAGCTCTGCAGAAGTACATAAAATTATGGTTGGACTTGATGATCTTAAAGGTCTTTTCCAACCACTACGATTCTGTGATTCTGTGAATTTTATTGGTGTAATAAGTTCAGCAATGAAGCAACAATCAAAGATAGAACTGTTTAACCATGTCACATGAAGTGAATCCAAGTACTTTAGCAATTTGTCTAGATATCATCCAATACTAAATAGTACAGAAAGGTGCAATAAACCCCACACTAGAGAACTGTGAAATAACTTGCCATTCTGAAAAGCTCTTCCTAACTGCTGCTTGAAGTATAAGGATTTACAGCCATTCAAAGAATAGTTTCAAAAGTCTTGCGTATGCTCTCATTTCCTTCTTTAAAAGGATTGACCTTCTTTTTCAGTTTTAAGTAGTTGTCTTTATAATAACAAACTGTATTTCACTTTAACTGTGATCTTTGTAAGCAGTATTTCTTTTGTCCATTTTAACTTGCTTCCTAGTAATTAACAGCAGACTACATTAGATGAGTATGCCAGATTTGGTTGTGTTTCCACCATTATTTTAAAGAAATTACGTAATACTATTTTTAATTACTTGTGGAAAATGTACTTGCTAAAAATGCAGTTTCTTATCCCACAACAGTGCATGGATTCAAGTGAAATTTGACAAACTGATTTTAGCCAGAAGAAAATTTTTGGAAAACATCTTTTCAAAAAGCTGGAGGAGACAGTCATGGTGAGAGCATAGGATGTACCCTTCACAATTGATAATTTAGAGTTAAGGTGAAGGATGCAGGCTCAAATCCTATCCTTGTGTTACAACTTGCATGTTCCACATCTCAGGAGAGCGCAGTAAAACAATCAGGTATTTTGGTATTAGAGGGTTCTTAGTCTCTCTTGCTTAGGGTTGTATTTTATGTCAGATACTTAATGGCCACTGAAAGAATGGGAGTATGTCAGTATCTGAGGCGACTCTGCAGCTTGGGGATGAGAGTCCTTACATGTGCAGTGGGACACATGGTTTCAGTCAGAGCCTCATTAAAAAGGAATTGGAACAAATGAATGTCAGCACTGGAGTGATTTGGGCATTGTCACTGCTGTGTGGAAGTGGCTTCAGACCCTTTGGGCAACAGCAGGAAACTGCTTTTGAGCTGTTCACCTCCTATGCTGTCCAGCTGTGGGATAAGTTACTTTTAGGAATCTCTGTTTTCTAGTCCTTCTCACCAGCATCCTTCACCAAATGTAGACATTAGTCATATGCATGTGTGTGAATTATAGGAGAATGTTTTGTGTTAAATGGAACAAATTTAACACTTTATTCATGTTTTTGTTTCCTCAAGAAGACAAAAAAAATGAAATCCAATCTGGAATATTTCCTAATTATCATTTGATTTAGCAGCTGAGCCAAGACAAGAATAGTGACAAGAACAATTTTTCACACAGCCTTTTTTCTCTGCTTCTGCATATTTGCTGTAGCTCTTCAGAAAGAGGGTGGTCAGAATCCCAGTTGATGGCTCCAGCTATGTAATCACATTTCAATAACATTCTCTAACCTGTTTGTTTCATTGTGTCCCTCTTAAAAGGCTTCTCATTTAAAATTTTTGTATCCTTTAAAGCTGTCTTTTAAACCCACTTTATGCTATTAATTTTCTAAAATACATTTTAAGAAGGAATTCTTTTGCTTTTAATTTTCTGGAATTATTTGAAATTCAAAATTTCTCTTCTTTTGAACTTCCTCTCACACTTTTTCCCCATCCTCACCTCTAACATCAGTTTTGACAATTGAATTTTTTTTGTGAGTCAATTAAAAAAAATGAATTACAAGTATGACAAATTCTTTCTTTATTATGTCTTCTTCTTTTTCATCGTGTTACATTTCAGTAGTTCTTATCAGCCAGTGATTCAGCTTTTGGGCACTGCACTGCTTTAAATTACAGATTAATTTCCAAGAGAGTTTTGGAATTGTGTGTAGTTTTCCTGCTGGTGACACATGCACAGTAGCCCTCAATATGTTTGCTCTTCACCATTTTTCAAAGCCCATTGCTGCATTGCTTTACTTTTTTTTAGCTATGACTCAGTCTTCTCTTAGTTTTCTCCATTTACCTGTCACATGATTTGCTTGACTGCGTACTTGTTTTGATCATCAATCAGATGATACTAAATTGCAGTTTGCTAAATATGAAAGGGAAGTGAGTCATTCAGTGTGTTTGTAGCCTGCTTCTAATGGACTTTTTTCTACATCACCAAACTGTAAACTAATTTTAGCAATTAACATTGGAAATCTAATATTGAGAGCCATCAAACTGGCCTTAAATGTGCTAGGATGGTGCAAATCATTGGTGAAGGAGGAAGATGATATGGTAGCAGTCTATCTAGGCAAGGTCAGACCATTATTTCTAAAAACTCCCCAGAGAAATAACAGAAATCATGAAGAAAGGGGACCAAGCCTGGACATACTGGACAGCTTATTTCTGGAGGTAAGGGGAAGCATGGCAGTAGAAAAACCCATGGTCTGTGACCATTTTAGTTGCCCTCATTGCCTGCTGATTGTCCACAAGTGCGCGGAGACAACATGCTCCTCGCTTGACCTCTAAGCAAAATAAATCTTCATCATGCTTACATTTAGTGCAATACATGATCAACATAAACCAGATGTATTTATCTAAGGTTTGGATGTATTTGTCAGCTCTTATATGAACAAATAGTTTCCTTACATGTATATTTTAACATTCTCTAAATTAAACAATGCAGAAAAGATGAATGGTATGTATTTAAAATTATACTCTCTTTTCATTCTTCTGTACCTAAAGTTATATTATTTTTTCATTCTTCTCTGCCCTTATTTATGTTGTGAGAGTACACTTTATCAGTATTTAGTTCTTAAAAGCCCTTAACCAAATGGCTTCAGTCAGCAATGAATTGACAGCTTTGTTTCAGGCTGGAAAAGGGTGCATTTAGCTTTTAAACAGATTATAGTTTTGTTCCTGATGCATTTAAATATAACATTATTTTTTAAAAAAAATATTTCCCTGCATTGAAGGAAGAAAATCTGCCATACTTGTGATTTGTTGCCTTCCATGTGGGAAAAAAAAAAGACAATAACAAACAAACACACCAACTCAGCTGTCTTCCAGAGCAAAATTAGGGAGAAAAAAGTTCTTTTGTTTAACTTGATATTTTGTTTAACTTAAAATATTCTTACATTTATTTCATTGAATAGTTTTGAATCCATACAAAGGATACTCCTTTCACATACTCCGGTCTAACTTTTCTAGAGAAAAGTGGTTGTGCCAGATAATGGCTGTTCTTTACTCATTACACTGTATTTGTTTGTTTAATTTAGTCTCTTCCATTCTTCTCTAGGGATGCTAAAATCTTACAGTAATACACAAAATAGTACAAAAGAGGAAATGTAGCTGAAACAAGCTGTAAAATTATCTATTTGTGAGTGTTTATACTGGAACAAGAGGATTAAAGGACTGTTTATGCTGTTCATCGTGCCGCTTCATGTGAAGCAGACAGCTTTAAAAGAAAATTCATATTTTCTTGGCTAGTTTCCTCAAACATGTTCCAAAAGCCTTTTTTTTGTAGTCATAAATGATCATTATGCATTGAACAGTCTTTGGGCCTGATCATGAGCAACACAGAGTACACTACTTTCCAGAGATTTCACTGGGGAAACTTGGAGTTCTCGCTAAGCTTTAGTCTCTTGAAAAGAAAGCCCAATGTGTTTCATTCAGCCAGGTGCTGAACTCATCTCGTTTGTCATAGTAATTTTTCTAATGAGATCTTTTGCTTGGGAGGGGTAACTTGCTATGGTATTTTGCACAAAACTGAAAAGTTATAAAACTCAGAAATGAGTTATCCCCAAGTCTATCTGTGTTGTGTTTTCCTTTTCTTTCCCCTTCCAGCCTCGTCATCATTTATCTGGAAGGGTTTATGCAAAAAAGGAAAAAAAAAAAACAGAAATGAACACCTTTTTTTTTCCCTCCCCAAAAAAACCCCCCTGAAGAATGCTCTTCAAACTTTTTAGAGAAACATACAGTCAAGCAACTCTGCTAGGCACCATTGGTCCATCAATAGTCACTGCCTTCAGCTGAAGGAATGAGCTCCTCAGCTTTGAGTGATCATTAGCGCTGGCATAAGACTTTCACTGTTTGATAGAACATTGACATGATCTGTGTTAAAATGAGCTCATCTCTGAAGAGCTGTTCAACGCTTCCTGAAATTTATTTGTGATCTATAGTCTACTTGTGCATTATAGAAGGTCAAAGAATTTAATAGTCATGCAATTATGTTTTGTAGCTCAGGACCTTTGTGCTGTGGAGAAACATGCCTGTGAGCAGATTTGTGTGAACACACCTGGCTCTTACGTCTGTCAGTGTTATGAAGGGTATGAGCTTGATGCAAATGGAAAGAATTGTGTTGGTGAGTATGAGTTTAGCAATTCACATTTATCTCTTGACACAAACCAAAGGGAAATTCAATGTAAATTAATATCCAGTTTAGCCATAGACAATGATGGGAAGGAAGAATGCATATTGGCATGTCCATAGGCCTTTGCTGATAATGAATGGTGACTTGGGAAAATTGTTCCAACTGATTTCACACAGAAAGTAACGTTGCTGTTTTGAAACAACACACCAGATGTTTTATTCTAGATCCATGTAGATCCATTCTACATCCAGCAGTGTACTGGCATGATATATGTAGCCATTAAAAAACTAAGCCAGACAAACTTGGTAGCTCCTCTTCAGACAGAAGTTATACATGGGAAAACTTGAAAGTGGACAATTTCTTGCCATTTCTCACTTTGTTTTATGGTCCTACCAGGAGAGATTTAAAATTCTTTGTGGGAAGATGACTTCAAGGAACGTTTAACCCCCGTTAAGTACCTATCCACTATGAGCCTTTAATTTTTGCTATGGAAAGTTAAGCAAGCATCAGCTTTAAGAATTACAACTCAAAAGACTGAGTGTGGAAACACAGTGTGATAATTTTTTAACACAAAACATACTTCCTTCTCTATTACCATATAAGTGTCTCACTCTTCTTCCCCATTTATACACAATAAACACTTCTAGGACATTCTTTTTCATTAGCCTATTAGCCTTCTGGTACACTTTTCATCCCATGCTACACTTAGGGAAAATGTTACCTTCTGGTATCTACCACAAAAAACCCCTAGTGAGTCCTTGAAAAAAACTTGCCTTATTTGTGTGCCATTTATTAAATTTCCTACAGTGGGACTTGTTTTTTGCCTGTTCATAATTTCTCTGCAAAGTCTGAACAGTGCTATTTGGAGGTGTGATACATGTTTTAACATTTTTTAGTACCTCCTCATTGGCTGTCTTCAGCATGGAGAGATACAGGCCTGTTATAAGCTCTGTTGATGACATTTGAAGCTTTCATAGTCTCAATTATTTGCAATTATTTTCAAAATATGGTTCATGCATGGGTTCACTATGTTATCTTGCATTTTATAGCTGTCTTTCCTCTCCACTTGGTTTCTATTCATTTATACCTAGTTTAGCAAAAACCATGAACTCATGCTATTCATACCCCTGCAATGATTAGCAGCATTAATTGTGATTTTTAAAGCACTTCTATTTTTCAATTTTCTTTTGCATTTATTTGACCATTTAACTTTATCATTTCTTACTGATGCATGTGAATGGCTCAAGATATATTAGTTATGTTTTACCCATGCAGAAGTTAGCCTCTCTACATTTCCTGAACAAGAAAAGATTGTCTGAGTAATTTGTGGTTTTGATGCTAATTTGTCTGTAATTCCTATTAGCTGTCAGTCTTCAGAATTAGACTTTTCAGATTCGAACAATTTGAGGTTTTTGAGGGATATGCTGCTACCAAGAATGTACAGCTTCTGCAGATGTGTTCACCAATGAATAATCATCCTTGGTGAAAGGATCTTGTAAAGGACTATGTGTAGTACTGAATCAGTAGTGGTAACTCTCAGGTTTCATTGCTCTTAAACTAGTTAACCATTCCTTTCTGTGAAGTATTTATTATCAAATGATCACAAGAAAGATCTTGATGTACACATATACCAGAGACTGCTGAGTACAACGGCATTTGTGCAAAAAGCAGTGACTTCATTAGGGTTACTCTCTCCTCTTCACCCAGAGAATGAAGAGAGAATTTCAGTAGGACAGACACATCATGGTTCTCTCAAAGAGCCAAAGTTTCTCTCTGATATATCAAAGACTTCTAAAATTTTAACTCCACCAAAAGTAAATGAGAAAGTGCAGAAAACTCAATTCACAGGCAGCTTTATTAAGGACTCTTCCTCCTTTCTGATGGGATAATTTCTCTGGTTAAGGATCAGAGGTGATACTAATTGCTTTATTGACACGTGTCAGTCAGTTACCTGAATGGCACTAATTAAATAAAATCTCACAACCAGCAGCTCACATATCCGTTCCAAGTGAACACTGAATGGCCAATCACTCTGAGTGATATGAACAAATTTGTAGACTAAACAATATTTGAAACTGCCTGCTCAGTGATTAGTATGGCTCACAGAGCACTATCACTTTGCCTTTTTAAAGAGCTTTTAATGTTAACTGCCCTCATTTCACACGAACAAAATCCTGTCAGTTAAAGTTTGGTGGTAATGAGCCATTCTTTCTCTGTCATGCTCCTGGACACTCAGTCTCTCCACCTTCTTGGCGTTCCTGGACATGCCGTCCTCTCTTTCCTGGCACTGGTGTTAGACTGTCTCCATATTGCTGCAGCTGTTGGGCTTGGGACCTCTTCTGGCAGTGGTTTGACTGCTGGCACCTCTCTGCAGTCCTGGCACCACTAGAATTTTTTGGCTGCTTTCTAGGTTCTTACAAGTCTTCCATGAATCTGCTCGACTCATCCTCTACATTCTTTTTCATCCTCCTTATGCCTTTACTTATTCTGTTACCTTTTCTTCCTTATCTTTTTCTTCTTCCCTTCTCCTTAACTTACTTCATTCTCCTAAGCCTGTATAACCTATACAAACATCTTAGGAGTAAAACAACAATACAAGAGAAAGGTGACCCACGCTGTCCACAGGTCAGACAGGGCAATGTAAGCACCCAGAGTGCAGAACTGGTAACTGGAAGTAAAAGATGACTCTCATCACTTACCAACTAATTCCAAGCAAGAAAAACAGAGTGGAACAAACATGGGGAGCTGACAACTGAATTAATTACTTACTCACTAAAAAAGTCATTAATTCATCCTTTAGAAAAGTTTCCTATTGAAATAGGCAGGAGCTAACATTAAAAAACTGTGAGATCTCTTAAGTGTTTACATTCTAGTCTTTATTTCATGACTCAGTACATAAGCATGAAAATAATAAAACTTAAAAAATTAGGAAAATATTATTCCACTTTGCTCTTACACAAACTGTTTATATTTTCTGCATACCAGCTAAAGGATTACAGTACTTCAATATAAGAAATACAGATTTACAATTTTTCTCAGTCTTTTCAGTAAGATATAATTCCATGGTCAACTTACCTACTTACTGACTGGAATGCTGTTGACAAGTTCATCTTCTAAGCAAGTACTGCTGAAATGAAACGTGAAGCTAAGATGGGAATTAATTTTTAGGTCAATTACTAGTGCCAGTCTACAAGGCTAAGCCTGCCTGGAATTAGGGCAATTTCTATAAAAAATTATTGAAAAAAGGGAATAATACTTATCTTAAAAAGCAATTGTCAAGAGAATGTTAGTACTTCTTAACTCTGTTAGTGGAAAGGCAGTATTTAAATTGATATGCTCATTATTCTTACAGGCCAGCAGACCTAATTCTGTGAGTAAGAGGTCTTCAGAAGGCTATAAATGAAAAAAAAGGAAGCCTGGAAAAAACAGTTATTTATTTTGTTGGGTTTTTCCCCCTTCTGTCCACAGTGCATTAGTGGCTGCATGGCCATGAGAAGTCACAGCTCCTCCCTCAAGAGATTGTCATCCGAAAGTGCTTAGGGTCATAGTTGCTCAGATGTTGATAATAAAGCATTCTAAGACCTGTTTACTTGTCTCTCAAACAACAAAGCTGGTAAAAGGGCTGGAAGGAATGTCCTGTGAGGAACAGCTAAGCACTTTGGGTTTGTCTGCTTTGGAGAAAAGGAGGCTGAGGGGTGGCCTCATTGCTCTCTACAGCTGCCTGAGGAGAGGAAGTGGAGAGGGAGGCGCTGATCTCTTCTCCCTGGGATCCAGTGACAGGGCGTGTGGAAATAGTTCAAAGCTGCATCAGGGGAGGTTTAGACTGAACATTAGGAAGCATTTCTTTTCTGCAAGGGTGGTCAAACACCAGAACAGGCTTCCTAGAGAGGTGGTCAATGCCCCAACCCTGTCAGTGTTTAAGAAGCATTTACCCTTAACGACATGATTTAACTTTTGGTCAGCTCTTCTAGTCTAGTCTGGTCTAGTCTGTTCTATTCTCAACTTTATAATCATTAGTTGGGCAGTTGCAGCTGTTGTGGTAAAAATACATTTGTTAGGGTTTAAATGCAGAGGAGGAGGTGACTTTATGAAGTGATCCATATGGGCTGTTTCCTAGGTATGATGCCAGATAGAAAAATAATATATATTCTTTGGCCTACTTATTTCTCAGTGTGTCTTTTAAAACACCTGGAAACGTACATGTGGTTAGAATTAATTTATGAGGAAAGCTGACTAATTGTATGACACATTATATCCTTGAAATATATATTCAGTAAATATGTTTTTATATGAAACTGTTCAGTCTGGAAACAGGAAGGTGCTTGCCAGGAAAATGGTCTCACATAGTAGCCAGTAAGTAGTCTAATTCAACTTGATTCAACATGAATATTCTGAAGGGTTAAAAGAAGCTCTTTCAAAGTAACTAAATGAATTATCTGCTTTCCTGACTAGATGACCTTGACTAAATATCTTCACATACCTGAGTAGATGCGTCATCTGCAAAGGCAGGACCGTTGAAGAATGAAAGTAATGAAAAAATTGCTCAGTTGGCAAAGAAGGGGAACCTGGCTCATTAAATGTCTGGGTGAAGCTGAGCACATTACTGGCAGAAAGAATCAGATTAAGTTGCCTAATGTGGGCCTGGCAATTATTTGGGGACAGAACACCTGCTTTGTGACTTAAATCTTTAATTTCTTCTAAGGCTTTCTTTGTGATGAAACAACTTAACCTGCAAAGAAATTAAAACAAAAACCAACCATTTAACTTCTTTAGCACTTCAGAATGAGCTTCACTCAATAAACTCTAAAGTATTATCTTATTGCCCTTTGGCAATCTCTGTTGTAAATATGGATTTTTGTAATAAATTACTGGACTTATGAAATAAGTGACTGGACTAGCTATGATATTTTGTTTCTCACATACAAAAGGCATTACATGAGCAAAATATCAGTGGTGAATATCAGCCTGAAGCTCTCAGGCTTCATAGCTGCAGCTGATTTGCAGGATGAATCTGGAGCACGTTAGAGAGGATGGATGTACTGTAACATTCCTCAGCGTAGAAGATACTGCCATGGGCCTCCTATATACTCAGGCTACGGAAACAGCTCTTGAGAACTAATACAGCTGGGAGGGACCTAAGGAAAAGTAGAGCAATTCCAGGACTGGGAGTGGAGAAACAGAAGACAGAATTAAATCGAACAAACTTTGCTACGCCCTGGTCTAACAGTGTGAACATCTGGACAGAGTTATTGACTGAGGCATGGTTTCCAGATCTGAGAAAACATGTTAAGAAGGCTCCTGACAATCCAAGAGTTGATAAATGTTCAAAGGGTAGGAGAAATAATCCAGGACTCATATAAAGTCTGATTTACCAACTGGTATTGAAAGTGCACTACTTTTTCCAAAAAGGCTCTTCAGGTCAGAAATTATGTCAGCTTTTTCTTTTTTTATAGCTATTATGTATAACTAGTACCATAATACCTATGCATAATGGTTCTAATCTTGTTTTTCTAATTGTACATGTCAATCTTGTTCTTTTTCAGTTGTAGACTACTGTGCTTTGGATAACCAAGGTTGCCAACATGAATGTGTTAACACTGGGGACTCCTATTACTGTAGATGCCGCCCAGGGTTCATTTTAAATCCAGACAAAAGAACTTGCAGAAGTAAGTTGTGATGAAGTTTAATTATGAACAGTTTGTACTTCTTTTGTCGTCCAGTTCTCAGCAGTAATGCTCCCACAGGTCCTGGGAACACTGAATAATGCGTCAGGTATAGAAAATATTGGAGCGTCCTGGAAACCAAAGATCTTGAAAGCAATGCAAGTTGTTTTGGGGGATAGTATGGCTTTTTGGGGTGGGGCTAAGGGTGGGGTTTCATCTTTTGAACAGGAGGCTTTTAACATGAAACCAGACTCCTTTTCAACAGTAAAAGCCCAAAGTTTTGTTTTGAGTACTCTCTTTGATTATCCAGAGTTTTTCATTAGAATATCATCTCTGTAGCTGGGTAAACAAATAAGTCTGCACAAGACAATTGATAATCAGCTTGGGTTTGTAAGGCAAGCTAAATTTAAATAGAATAGTTCCACAATCAGAAGAAACATTGCAGCCTATTTTCCTATGGATTTTTCTCAAGAGCGAGTTCTTTGATAGTGTGCCAAAGCTCTGGAAATATCAGTGTCTTCTACCAAGCTTACACATTTCCACCAGGTTAAATAACTTCATGGCTTTGCTTGTTTGTTGTTTGTCAGATTTCATTGATACCAGGCTAACAAGCTCAAAAATTACCGGCATTAGGAGTGGTTATAAAGCAGAGGGGAACTGACAGACCAGAAAGTACTATTGCCAAGGCTTCCTGTAATTGGGAAAACAGTCAAAACCACCATGGTGTTTAATGTCATAACACACTTTCAGGAAATGTGAAGAGAAAACCTTAATGTACCTTCCTAGTTACCTTTCTTCATAAATATGGGCCTTGATAAAGAAATGTTATTATTGTATCTGTAAGCAGGAAAACTCTATTAGTTTTATGTGAGTGTAACTGCTGATGCCAGTGGTGAATTTAGCCCATATTATTGAATAATGTGTTCAAACATTATTTCTCAAAAAATGCATCACTATAGCACTGCATTTGTGTGTTTTTTACAGTCTTGGGGGCATTTCAGTCTTTATGATGAGAGACTGTTAAACTATAGACTGTATTGTGTATTATGCTTGGTATCACTTAAATGTAACATTTAGAAAGAAGGCATCTAATCCAGGCTGTACATCTGACCTTATGATCAAGGGAAATAGACACACACTTCTAGAAGGCAATTGCTCACAGCTCTGACACAGATTTATGGAAGTGCCTGTATTTTCCTTGACTACGCAGGGAGCCTGGATGACTTGCCAGAATAGACACCTAATTTTTAGATGGTCAGAGTCAGTGTGATTGTTCTACTGAATTCCCTGGTTCCCCAAGGGCCAGAATACAGTTTGTACTGGTTCACATTGCATGTAGATTGTATGAACTCACCCATTTGTCAAGTATCTGTCAGCTAAGGGCTGGATAAATTGTCTTATACTTCCACATATACTTCCACATCCATATATTTTTGAAATCATACTGTATTGTAAGTGCTTTCCACTGCCCAAGCACACATTTTTGTTAATTCCTTCAATTTAAGAATGTGAATTTTTAGCAGTGTTTTCTCCCCCAGTTTGAACTGAACAAAAACCTTAAAACTGCATAAAGATTTTATATGTCTTGAGTGGTTTTTAGCTTATAGTCTAACTGTATTATTTACTTTAACTTGTTCAGACTGGTGATCCACAGAATGCTGGAGTCTGAGAGAATGTTCTGGGTGTTCAGTATTTCAGGCTTGTCCTGTCTCTGTCCTTTAACTTAGGTATCTGTTGCATGAAATAGCACATTGAGCTGTATAGACTGTCCGTCTGACGATGTGCTGCTGTCTTTATGTTGGAAACATGAAAGCTTTCAAATGCTGGTTGGACAGGATCTCTGGAAGTCATCTACTCTAGCCACCTCTTCAAAGTGGAACTACCACAAACTGTGGATCCAGTCAGCTATGGTTTTGTCTAGTTGAGTCTCAAAAAGCTCCAGTGGAGAGTCCACAACTTCTCTGGGAAACCTGTTCCACTGCTGCACTATCCCTCTAGTGAAAAATATTTTCCTCATGTCCAGTGTGAATCACCCAAGTGATTCAACCGCAACAGGTAGTGACCATTGTTCCTTGTTACATCATCTGGCACTGCCAAGAAGGGTTTAGTTCCATCACCTTTATAATGACCTACAAGAAGTAATTGTAGGCTGCAGTTAGATACTTTCCTTTTCACTAAACTCAGTAAGACCAGTCTCTTCAAGTTCTCTGCACAAGTCAGGTGCATTATGTCCCAGGATATGTCTCCGTTGAGCCCTCCTTAATTTATTCCCTTTAGCTGGAGGGAGAAGGGAAGGGATTGTTCCAGAACTGGACAAAGTATGTCAGTCTCCAGCTGGGCCTTGAAACAGGCCTTGTTGATCCAGAACCTGACCTGCAGACTGACTTCCCAGCTAGACCATGCTGCTTGTCTTGCTGCTATGGACCTGCCCAGTGATCACTGGGCTGTGTCAGACCCTGGCTGCCCTCACCAGGAGCAGCCTCCCCTCATCCTGACATGCAAACTGGCTTCCTGGCTTGACCTTAGACCTACTTCAGTAGCATGTACTTGTCCGATGATCTGGACTCCTGGTTAAACCTGGTTACCATTTCCAGGTCTGCCCTGCTCACCTTGCTTGGGTACTGCAGGGCAGTGCCTGTCTGGTAAGACCCCTACCCTGCATAGCTCTATTATTGCCCTTGGTTCCAGGCTCTCCTTCCCTTAGGGAGCAGCTGGCCCATGCTGCTCCCTGACAGCAGGTCACTTTCCCAGTCTATACAAACTATGGAGTGTTTCCAACCCAGGTGCAGAACTTTGCAATTCTTCTTGCTGAACTTCATGAGACATCTTCTGGTCCTATTGTCAAGTTTATCAAGGTTCCTCTGTATTGAAGTTCTGCTATTTGCTTTCAGTCACTGTCCCTAATTTAGTGTCACTCATAGATTTGCTGAGGGTGCACTCTGTGTCATCATCTCTTCATCAGTGAGGAAGATATTTAGCCAATGTGAACCCCAGTAGTGTCCCCTGTGGTACTCTGGTCATTATTGGCAACCAGCCAGACATGAAGCCATTGATCACTATCCTTTGAGGCTGGTGGCCCCACCTAACAGTTTTTTCTTCCAGCCTTCCACTGCCTCAGCTTCCAAACGAGAATGCTGTAGAAGGCATCAAGAGCTTTACTAGTGCCAGGGTATATTACGTCCACCAATCTTCCCTTGTCCACAGATACCGTCATTTCATCATTGAAGGTGAACAGGTTGGTCAGGCATGGTTTGCCCTTGATAAATCCATGTTGTCTCTTTCCAGTAATCTTCTTGTCCTTCATATATTTGGAAATTGATTCTGAGAGGATGTGCCCCTGGGACTGAAATGATGCAGATTGGTTTATAGTTCCCTGGATCTTTCTTCTTGCCTTTTTTTAAAGATTAGTATAACATTAGCATTTTTCAGTAATCAGAGACCTCTTTTGCTCCCCATGGATTTTCACACCTGCTAGGCAGTGGTGTCACATCACCTAGCTCTTTCAGCACCCACAGGTGGAAACCAGTCATCCCATGGATTTGCGTATATCCAGTTTCTCTAAGTAGTCTCTAACTGATGTTGCTAGCCACTCTCCTTCACAAACTGCTGGTACACGTGGAAATCTGACAGCAGGCTTTGTCTGTGAGAACCAGGAATAAAAAGGGCATTATTTTTTTCAGCCATTTCTGTGTTGTTCATGACTAGGTTGTTCCCCCAGCCAAAACACCCACATTTTCTGTGGGTTTCTTTTTGCTACCAGCATATTTGTAGACTCCCTCTTATTACCCTTAGTGTACCTCATTAGTAATAGGTCCAGCTGGGCTTTGTTTTTTTCCCAAAGCACATAACCAATGCTTTTACACTCCTCTCTTATTCTTAGTCCTTCTTGCTTCCTCTACTATTTTCCCTCTTGGTGTTTTAGTTCACTGAGAAACTCTTTGATCTTCTAAGCAGATTTTCTAGTACAATGGGATCATTTGTTTCTGAGCTCTTAGCAAGTCTTCTTTAAAAATCATCTAGCTCTCCTGGACACCCTTTCTCTTCTTGGCTTTTTCCCAGGGGATTCTTCCTAGTACTTCCCTGATTAAGCTGAAATCTGAGCTTGTAAAAGATAAGAGTCCGAATTCTGCTGCTTTCCTTGCCAGCCATCTGGATTGTGACCTTACTCATCTCGTGGTCACAGCAGCAAGTCAAGAAGAACATCACCCCTCAAGAATTCTTGCTAGGGAGTTGTCACTAAGTCTGTGCAGACACCTCCTGAGTTGCCTGAACAATTATATCTTACCCTCCCAGTAGGTGTTTGGCTGGTTGAAATTTCCAACATGAACAAAAACCTATGGGTTGGAGACTTCTGCTATCTGTTTGTAGAAAGCCTTTTTCACTACATCCTTTTGGTCAGGTGGGGTAACAGACTCACTACCACATTCCCAGTGTCATTTTGCCTCTGATCTTGACCAGAAACTCTCAGCAGGCACATCTGTGGTTTCATGTTGGATCTCTGTGGAATGGAGATCTTTAGCTTATAACACAAAAGTACACTGCTGTGCAAGGGAGTGCAAGATGGTAGACAAGGATGACTGCAAGGCAAGCAGGGTCAGCAATTTCTCTGACAAGGCCTTTGGTCCCACAGCACCCAGAGAAGAAGAGCAAAGCAGATCCTGTGACAGTAACCAGGCTCAGTCCAGTGATCACCAGGCAAGTCCACAGTGTCAAGAAATGCCTAAGGTCGATTCAGGAAATCAAGTCAGCCGGTCGGGATCAGCAAAATGCAAGGCTAGGTACGGGCATAACCTATAACATAGCTCAGGGAAGAACCAAGGGTGAGCGCCTGATAGTAAATGCAGCTCCCAAAGCCAAGGGGCAGAGACCACAGACAAGGCTTCTCATAGCTCTGTGCATCTCTGCCATGTTAACTGTGTTCTGTTTTGTTGTAAATGCTTTAAATTAGATTAAATTTAAGGGAGAAAATTCCATCAGGTTGCAATTAGGGAAAAATCAAAGTGACTGTACATGGTAGGCCATAGAGATTGATTCAGAAGGAGTAGTCAAGGAGGAATGAGCAAATACTATGACAAATTATTCTCTTCCAAGATGCACGCCCTGAATCGAAGCATAAATAAAATTTACTAAGCCACTTTTCCTTACACTTGATATCTTCCTAGCCTTGCTAATAAAATAAAGTATGAATGAAAGAACTGTGTAGTTCTTAATGCTGTGAAAGTCACGACAGCATGAGAACTCTTCAGAGCAAAAGTGTCCCCAAGCTCCCATATGTTATGAATCACATGGCCTTTGAGTCAGCATAAAGGGCATGAAGAAACAGACTTCAGATCACTAGATTTAAAATGTTTGTAAATTTCAAACTTTTAATATAAATTTCTACATATTTGGCTTACATACTGAATCTCAGGGGTCATCACCAATTAGCCAAGTTGTGAGCCAAGACCCACATCTATGCCAGACCGGATCTCTGCATCAGCAAGCAGGCCTGGGCCTGGACCACCAGCTCCTGAGATGTCATGATTATCTCAGAATCCTGGCTTTCCTTTCAAAAATAGAAAGTAAGCTTTTATGCTCATGGCTACAAAGAAAAGCCTGAAAATGTAAATGTTATCAGGACAGTCATGCGTATCTGACAAAAGTTTTCTCTGGGAATTACTCCAAATTTCTTAGAATGAAATACAAGGAATGTGACTCATGAGGGCACGGCTGCCAACACCAGCAGGGTCCTCTGTGTGTGGCTGCAAGAGAGCAGCAAATTCACGTTACCAGTGAGGCAGGTAGAGGTCACTCCTAGCTACTAAATTAACTCTTAAGGGGACTTTTGCAATTCTTGCTGCTCCCCTCGAGGACAGATGGAAGCTTCTGCTTGTACTTAGGGGTGCTGAGGGAAGGCCCCTGTTTGCGTTGTGGGTGGATTCACATGAGCTGTAGCTGGTAGAGGCCTTGTGTCAGCATCCTTAATCTGGATTGTGTTCATGAAGCCCTGTAAAATGTGTTCTTACTGTTCCAAACAGAATAGCCTCAAGGTTCCAACAAAGGTAATTTTTTTCTTTTTTTTAAACTCTTGTGGTCATCTTTAGAATCAGTTACGCTGGAAAAGTCTGTCCTGCTCACTCGAGTTAGCAAGGATTTGAGCAGGTAAAGGCAACACAGCACGAGTAGGATCAGAAGGCATATAGCTATATTTCTCTGGTGCATACACGTGGCTTT